TGACAACAGTGGTCAGTGCCATTATTTCAACACAGAACACAACGCAGAGTACACTAACCCCGCCGACGGCCAAGGAGTGTTGCACCCGTAGAGCCCGTTACGCCTGGGTCTGTTCAGCACCCTAAAAGGGAGGAATACTTGCCCTGTCTTAATTATTACATAGACACCTATCCTTTCTTTGTTACCAAGAGACACATGGCTTCCCGTTTGGCTAATTAAACTGCCTTGCTCGCTCATTATTGTATCGAGCGATCCTAACAATGATTAGCATTACAGTTAATAATAACAATCATCCCTGCCTGCAGCCTTTGTCTGATTTAATTAACCTTGGCCTAGATGCAGTCTGCAAGCACATCAGAATAACTAAGCATTTAACAGCCTGAGCTAGACATCCTGTCTCCACTAAACATTTCTAGACAACAAATCTCTGAATATCTATCTAACTAAGAAATTACCTAACACTACAAAGAGCCAAGTATATGATTAACCCACCTGTTATGTTCATTTTTCAAGAACAGCAGTGATGTTCCTGGGTTAATTTTACCATTACTAACCATTTCAATCACTATTTAGTGCAGTGGTGTTTTAATCTGAGTCTTAGCCTGGAGAGCGTTCCGGTTCGGTGGAAGACACCCTGTGTGGTCCCAGTTCCCAAAATACTTCATCCTAAGGAGCCGAACCATTACAGACCCGTTACCCTGACCTCCCACCTGATGAAGACCATGGAGAGGATTGTCCTCGGCCACCTCCGTGCCCAAGTGAGCTCGGCACTGGACCCGCTGCAGTTTGCATACTATCCTGGCATCGGGGTTGATGACACCATTATCTACATGCTGCATCAAGCCCTATCTCATCTGGAGTCCCCTGGAAGCACGGTGAGGGTCATGTTCTTTGACTTCTCCAGTGCTTTCAACACAATCCAGCTGTCACTGCTGAGGGGGACGTTGGAGGGGGCAAGTGTGGACCAACACCTGTCCGCATGGACCATTAACTACCTCACAAACAAACCTCAGGTT